AAGCCTCCCTGTGTGCAACAACAACACCAACATCAACAAAGCCTTTCAGTCCCAAACAAGTTGGGGCAGGATACAGTCGAAACCCATAAGATATCGAAACGAAGTCATGGCTCTGGTACGTGGATAGCCAACTTCCATCCCTGTCCATGGCTAAATTTTTGGTGATATTCGAGTCCTTCAGACCTCTCTTTACCGACTCCTCTATATCAAGTTTGGTCTACCCTGACCTCTCTTGACATTATCAGCATGCCTTAACCGTCTGTTATGCACAAGCCTCCCTGTGTGCAATGCCTACAAAATTTAACTTGAAAAAAGGTCTAAAAGATTCACAACTCAGCATCACACTCAGTTAGAGATCAATGCCAGTAACTGCTGGAAAACATATATGGAATTCGACTAGTCAGCATTTCATCCAACAGGGCCATCACCAAATCTAAACAAGTCCCCAACTTCAGGGAAACGCATATGGAATTCAACTGCAACTTTAGAGAAACGCATATGGGTTTCAACAGTGCAAGTGTTTCATCCAAAAGGGTCAAACCAAGCCTCATTTACGCCCAGCAAATCAGGGCATGGTAGGTTAGCTAGCAAACCATGATTCATCTCGACAAAAGATATGTGCAGAGGTCAATTTTTCAAAGAATCGATGGAATGAACCGAGCATAACAACCAGGATAAGCCCATTTCACTCAGATTCTCCAATCCTCCGCTGCGGATATATAAACGACAGCCACAGATGTCTGAAGTCTCTAAGCAGGAAAGTAAACCGAAGCAGAACACACCGCATCAGGATAAGAGGCACGGCAGTTCGTTACCACCGCTGCTACATGATGGTGGAGGAGAGCTTGAGGCACTCGCTCTGGCAGCGCTTGAGGCAGACGTCGTTCCAGTTGGGCACCTGGTGCTGGTTGACGCAGACGGTGCGCGCGCAGGCGTCGGCACATGCGTCGAGCTCGGAGACGCCGCAGACGGTGACGCAGGTGTCCGGGATGGGGTCCTTGGAGAAGGCGCCCACCTTCTTGAGCATCCGCTTGGAGGTGCAGACGCGCTCGCAGACGAAGACCTCGTCGGAGCTCTTCTCGCGGCCCCGCGCCGCCTTGAGGCGCTGCTCCTCGTCGCGCCGCCGCTTGACGCGGATGGCCTGGCCGGCCACGATCGCCGGGACGGCCGCGGCCAGCAGCGGCCACCACGCGTCCACCATCCTGGCCGCGGACCTGGGGGTGGATGGATGGGTGGATGGAATTACCTTGCTGCGTCCTCGCACCGTCCACCTTGCTGCGTCGTTAGCTTCGATCTGCAGCCGCCGCCGCCGCCCACGGGAGAGGAAGGAGATGGAATGGTGGTTCCCAAACTGGAGAGAGATGATGGTCGGGGTTGGACTTGGGCTGCACCAGGGCCTATAACTGGAAATATCTTCTACGCTGGAACCCGTATCCGGCCCGAAAATTGGAAATGTCTTATGATGAAACCCGCATCTCCATCTCCAACTCCGTGCATCAAATCGGACAGCGGCGAAATCAGCCTAAAGAATCTTGGGGTCATTATCAAATTTAAAAAAAAAACTTCCTTTATGATGAACACTAAATGTACAGTGTTTAGGTTATTTTTCTTCAAAAGTTATTCGGTCAGCTAACCCCACAGCTAACACATGGAAACGCCATTGAAATCAGACACATCAAACTTCCACGAACATCTGAGAGAGGGCTGCCCTCCAACCTTGTCCAATTGAGAGAGGAGCGAGAAGGGATCAAGAGAGAAAAAGTAGGTTTGTGGTGGATTCAAGGCTTGTCCATAATGTGTCCAAACTCCCCCAAACCTTCTCATGTTGCCTCCGATTTGCGGGATTTTGGACAACTGAATTACTCCACAAACGTTTGATGTACCCCATTGAATGAAAAAAGTGTTCGAACCACGTGGTCTAGACATTTAGGGGGCGCTTTGGGGTAGACATTGAAGATGCCCTAACCCCATAGTTAATGCAGAGATATTTGCAAGGGAGCATCTATAACTCACTCTTTTTAATCTTTATTCTAAAAAAATATCTCGTTTTTTCCTGCTTTCTTCTTGCACGTGTTGATGAGGATCTTGGTGGTGCCCTAGACTGACTAGAGTTGTGGAAGCTCAGTGGGCCAAAATGCGCCTCGCCGTCGATGTCGTTGTCTTCTCCAAGACTCCGGACTGCAGGATTCTTACTCAATGTATCGACAAAAACAACTCGGTGAATGCCTCACAGCTTTACCACCTGCGACCTTTCGGCGGTGTGGAGGCCCCTTTGCTACCTTCCTCTGGGACAGCAAGGCACCCTCCCGAGTGCAGTTCTTTTGTTGGCTCCTCATCCATTGTCGCATCCACAACAGGGATAACCTGCTCCGGGAGTGAATCATCGAAGCGAGCGCCTGCATAATCTGCCCTGCCTTTCGTTTTTTATTCTTATATTTTTCTATGGAACAAATAATAATAATTTGGAGATAAGTAGGAGTATATTCTAGAGATGTATGAACAGTTTTTTAAGGGAACATGTAATTTTTGGAAAATATATTCATATATTTTAATTTTGTGTATGTATTTTCAAAAATATTCATGTAACTAAAAATAGCATTCCCGCATTTTAGAAAAAATATTGATCTAACTAAAAGAGGTATTCATGTATATAAAAAAATGTTCATGTTATACTTAAAACTGGACATATGTTTTAATAGAATCTTCACATGTTTTGGAAATGCATTTCAAAAAATCAAGCGGTTAGACTATGTTTATGTATTTTTTAATAGTATTCACACTTTTAAAAAATCATGTATTTTCAGAAATTTTATTTTTTCAAATGATCATCGGGTATTTTAAAAAACGAGCATCTTATATTAAATATGTCCTTCAGGTATTTTTTTTAAATCAGCATGTATAAAAAAGTTTGCTGTGTATTTCAAGAAAATTTAATTGTGTATAATACATATTTCTCATGTATTCAAAAATATTAATTGCATTTAAAAAAATGTTTATGATGTACTAAAATTGTTCAGTGTCTATTTGAAAAATGCTCATGTGATTAAATAAGTGTTCATACATTTATAAATAGCATTCATGCGATCAAAAATATGTTCACCCGTTATGAAAATATCCATACAGAGTTTTCATATATTCTAACAAAAGTTAATTTTTAAATTTTAGAAAATGTTCACACTTTTTAAAAATGTTCTATTTTAAAAAGGGTCCACGCATTTTCGGAATAATACATGTCTTTATAAAATACTTATACATATTTTGAAAAAGAAACTGAAAGATGAAGTTAAAATAAGAAGAAGGAAATAGAAAAATAAGAGAATAAAAGGAAATGGAAAAAAATAAGTTGAATTTATTTCATTTCAAAAAGAAAAGGAAACAAAAAAGAAAAAGAAAACCAAAAGCAAAACAGAAATAGAAACATGAAAACCCAAAATGAAAACGAAAATAAAAAATGAGAAGAAAACCAAAACAGAAATAAAAAGATTTCTCTATCCACGTTGGAAACAAAAGAGCCGAGCAAGAAAGAAAGGAAATCGTTTAAAACGAGTCCGACCCGGGGTTTCGGGTGATTCACATGGTTTGGGGGAGATCGGGGGTTAAATGCCTGGTTTAGATCTCTAAAAATATAGAGAAAAAAAGAAGTCTACACGCGAGATCTGCCATTAAAGATCCAAGCCATAAAAAGTGAGAAGCTATAAGGCTTAACTCTAACATAATAATTACTCTAATAAGACTGGCTCTTTGTTGAATATTCTCCAAGAATTCTGGTGCATAGTAGCTAAATAATCCCACCGTGTTACTAAGGTAAGTATTGTGTAATATTTCGGTTTTCCGTTCCTCTTTACAAATGGCCTATTGTAGGTTCTCAATCAATAACATCCTCACCATCAAGAGCAACGATCAGTCAAAGAACACCATGCATTGTTGGGCGTCCAATTCGTGAATCTAGCGGTTATGTTGACTTATTCTTGAGGGCCTCTTTGATTCGAAGGATTTTCATTTTCGAGGATTTAAATCCTTGGAAAGTTTTTCTATGCTGATTGTTTGAATCTTGTAGGGATTTTTCCTACGGATTCTTTTGCACTCCTTCCGGTTCTTTTTAGTTCGCATCTAAGATTTGCTGAAGTCAAACCTCATGAACTTTGACCAAGTTTATAGAAAAAATACCAACATTTGTGCATGTGAAATCAACAACATTAGCTGCGCCATGACTTTAGTTTTCATATTGTATAAATTTAGCATTGTAGATGTTAATATATTTTCATATAAATATGGTCAAACTTTACAAAGTTTGACTTCAAACAATTCTTGTATGCAGAGTAAAAAGGACGGAGGGAGTACTATTCTTCACAAAAACATTTACAAGCATCAAACTTCTGGGTAAGAATAATTTGATTTTCCTGTAAAGCAATCAAACAAACCAAATCATGTAGAACTCAAATGTGTCTTTCCTATTCCTTCGCTTTGAAAATCCTGTGAATCAAGATCCCCTAAGAAAATGAAACATTACAATCCTTCTCGTCTGACAAAAAAAATGAAATTCCTGAAGCAAACCAAATATATCGACCAAACCTCTCAACAAGAGAGCAAAACAAATATTAAACACTGACCAGAACAAAGCTATGGATAGACGAGGATTTGTGCCATCCGGGTAAGCAACCATAACATGATGATGTAGTAATGCTTCTGAATTTCATAAATTAAAAGACCCGTACTGTTTGGGCGTCAGACGATATATACAACAGATCAGCTACTTCATCGGCTAAGCGAAAGAGAAACTATTTACAGTTCGGCCCCAACATGTACAACGTATCGCTGTGTCTAAATGGGCGCAGGCTTCATAAAATACAGCCCCCGCCCAGATCTCCTACAAAAGGGACAAGAATCCCTTGGGAAAACATAAGCCTCTATACCGCCGATGGGAATTATGTGCACTTTCCGCATGCAAGCGATGTACTGTACTGTACTGCAGCTCGACCGGCATCAAGGAAAAACAAGGGCTAGGATTCTGCTCTTTTGCCACGCGATTTCAAGCTTTTCTCCAAAAATGCCAGAGTCTCGGCGTATGAAGGGTCATTCTTGTTCACCGGTTTACACGAGTTTATATGGTCAGTGTTCTGTAGAACCTGCAAAGATACATAAGATTAATCATCACTTGCAAGTTGCATTAAGTGGCACAACTTTTCCTTTCAGTTGAAGAGACACTTGTCTTCTAGTTTGGAGGAAATTACAGGAACATACAGGATAAACATAAGATAACAGGCGGGTCAGATGTTATAAACGTTGCTCTGACAATGAACTCTAAAGTCACCAGTTACAAAGGGATAACTACATAACTGCACATAGATCACTTGTTGTTATATCAATATTGTTTAGCACTGCAATTAGGATATTTGAAACTAGCATCTACTTGGACACATTTATATACCATTGCCATCCCACATTATTCATGTTACAACTAGACAGCCCGATATGTTTCAGTCAAGTCCCTCGTAATGCAAGCAAGCATAACATATCCGTAAACGATGATTTGAATGAGATAATCCAACTGGTAGAATACTTACAACAAGCTCCCCGTATCCTGGGTATGCAGATTCGATCGGGACTATCTCCGCTCGGAATGCCCAACCACCATAACCTTCGACAATTGGTGTGACTTCGCTCTGTTAAGAAGCCAGTTAGCATACATAACATTTGTACAGAAGAGTTAACAAAAGAAAACTTGGTGTTGTGGCAGTGAAAACACAATGCACTAGTCTATGACAACATTTCATTACCTCACTAAAACTAAGAACATCGAGAAGTCCTTTGCTGTAGCGCTGCCGCACAAAATCATTTAACTCAACAAGTCTTGGAGACCCACTTCTTAATTCGCCAATCTACAGGAACAACATGTGTCACAAAATATACACGCATGAAATACATCAATCATGAGTGTCATATAAAGAACGTACTGAAGGAGCTGGACGAAACACATAACCCATACGCCATGGCATGTCTGCAAGTTTACTGCCAAAATGCGGACAGCTATAAAAGACCTGTCATAAGAATAGGGTTAGAACTCATACAATCATAAGAATAGACAACCAAAAACATACTAGTTCCCTCAAACAAACAAAATCAGACACATACTAGTCCAATTGTATTATTCAGGAACTTGTCGTAATTGTTCAGTTTCGCTTGATGCAATATCTGCTTAACCACCAGTCCACCCATGCTGCAAGTATGAAGATGGGAGAGAAAATATTAGTTCTTTGATTCTTTCAGCTGTTAGATTTTTCAGCCCATGTGTAAGCAGCATTATAAACCAAGCAGCCATCATTACCTATGAGTCACAAACACAACAGGTCGGCTACCGATCCCCGCAGCCACCAGCTTCCTCAGCAGCATAGAGCTCACCTCCTATACAACAAAAGTCATCTCAATAAATGCAAATTAAGCAAGAAAAGAAGAGCAAGCCATCACCCAAAAACATCGAAATATCTCAAACCATGTATTAACCTAAAATAATACTCCCTCCATTCCATAATGTAGTGCCTATAGATTTTTGTAAAAGTCAAACTTTGCCAACTTTGACCAAGTGTATGGAGAAAATTGTCTACATCTACAATACCAAACATGTATATTCTGAAAATATAACTCACGATGTATCCAATGAGGTGCATTTGGTATTCTAGATGTATCTACTTTTCTCTATATACATGGTCAAAGTTTGTAATGTTTGACTTCTGTAAAAATCTATAGGCACTACATTATGGAACGGAGGGAGTATAAACTTTTGTACTGTATAGCAATGGTGAAAAGGTCTCAGAAAAATATAAAATGTCACAAAATGCTCTATCTGTACAGAAAATAAAAATTGTATGAAACACAAAGGTGTCCTTTCCTATGTGCACTACTAAGTCAGAAAATTTTGTATTCTGACTAACAGGTTTGTCCAAGCCTAATCAGAGATAAAGGGAGGTAGGAGTATGTGCATCAACATGCACAACTCTCCAGAACACTAACCTGAAGGGACAGGCTGGCTCCAGTCCATTGTGTCAAATTTGTCTGCATAAACCATTTGAAACCAATAAGGATCTTGGAACATTTAAATCTGAATGGTATCAGCAGATAAGCTTTTAAAGGAGCGATACAAATCTCCCAACTTAAAGAGACAATCAGAGAATTAGAGAAAAAACCTTGTATTTGACCGTGAAGAAACGAGCTTGAGGAAAATCTGATGAAAGCCATTGTCTTGGCCAACAAGTACCTTCTTTTCCAGCATCTTCATCTATACTTTCCACCAGACCAGCTTTAGTAGTTGATGACTTGTCATCAGCTATCCGCCATGAGTTGAATGGGCCACCACGAAGGCCATGGACAAACACGACATCAACTTCAGGGGAGACACGTCTTGATGCAGCATCTTTACCTTCTATGCTTCCAGTTTCAGAGCCACTATGTTCAATGCATCCATCATCCTTACAAGTATCTCTTGAAATCCCACAGCCACTGTTGCCCAAATGAACATCAAGATGTAATTCTGGATTCAGCAAGAAAAGCGCATCTCCAAATTGAGGACACTTTCTTTTATACTCACATTCTGAATCAGGATATTCACCAGAAACACTTCTTGTATTTTGACTCTCGGAGCAGAATACATTTAACAGAGTTAGTCTGCAGTAACTTTTTAACTTTATATCATTGCAAGGAATTCGTCCGGTTGCACATTCCTCAAGCCACTTGCACCATACATCATCAGAAACAATTTCCTTCTTTGAGTTGGGTAGAAGGGAGAGAATGGTAAGCAGCCGCCCGGCATGCCTTCGAATATGTGCTGCTGGAGGAACACGTACACTACGGGGATCAGTGGTAGCAGCAGTAGAAGAATCATCGGAAGCAGACACATTCTTGTCTTGCACTTCTCGTATTCTTGATGCATCATATGCTTCAATTGCAGCAAGTTTCTCATAATCGTCACCGACGAGGATGTGTTTCAATAACGAAACAACTCCTAAATCAGCTATTCTCTTTTGGCACGTGACATCCTCAGAACAAAGCTCCGCTAGTGCTTTTATTCCCTTAAGCGTAGCTAAGGCTGAGTCAACGGCATCAAACTTGGGTGGGCTCTTTTTGTTCAAGTTCTTTACAGCTGTAGCAAATGGTTCAAGTTCTTTGTCACCAGACTCAGAACCATGGTCCAACTGAATGCTTGCTAATTTCACAACCGCTGTAGCTAACTGATTCAAGACTTGTGTGGCAGTGTAAGCATTATGATAATCAACTTGATTCTGCAAAAATATATATATATATATATATTAGGACAGTAGAAGGGAGAATAAGATTTGAAAGAAAATGCTGCATCAGGACGATGGCAACTTATCCACTTGCACATCCCTCAAATCATTAAAATCAAAATTAAGTTATACAGAGGTAAAATACAAGTGCAAGACTGAACATGCTGGTTGAACAGAACAAAATAAGAAATGTTGCTGCAATCAAATGTCTATATTTCAAACAAGGGATTTCAAAGGCTGCCAATCAAATACGATGTAACTTCTCCATGAACAAACAAGGATAACCCCATGTGGCTACCCTAAACAGCTTCTCTTTTGTGAAGCATTCTATAGTGTCTTTCAAAGTATATTAGCAAAATTCACATACATAAATTGCTTAGAACATTTGTTGCTCTATGCCCAATACTTACGAGTTATGGCAAATCTAACTTAAATCTGAACAAATGGCATATACCGTATTATGCAAGGTTGACATTGCCATTGCAGTAACAATTTGAACATTTTGTGTAATTCGTTTATATGCAGCTCATTTATCCAGCCCTACTACCTAACAATTTTATGCTGTGATGTTAATAAATCTGCAAAGGGAACACACACTAAAGTACATTTTGCGGTAAAAATTGCACAGATTATAACCTTCACTCGTTCTGGTTCAGGCGGGGTGGCTCCTTTCAAACTTTGTGTCTTGTTGTCTCCAAGAATTTCGGAAAGCACGAGAGCTAACCATCCCTGAGAAATCGGTACGGAAGATGGTCCGTAATCCTCAAGTATAGATGAAAGGATTTTTACAGATGTATGATGTGTTGTGCCTGATACAGATTTGTCAAAGAGCCAACGAAGAAGAATGCCAGACCATCTTTGAGCTTCTTCAAGTGACAAAGGAACTTCACCAGAATAGAGCGAACTCAGGGCAACCGCTAATGACTCCTTCATACCATTCTGACTATTTTCCTTTTCTATTTTTTTTGCAATACTACGAAGAAGATGAAGACCCTTCTGCCTTATCACAAACTTCGACTCATTGCATCGTATCATGGATAACAGGAAAGTTGACAGTGACATTTGGGCCAACGACATGTCGCCATTCTCAGTAGCCTGAGAAGCTGTTAAAAGAAGACTTGAGGACCAATCAGGGACAGAAGGAGCCAAAGTCAAGTTCTGGTCTTCTAAAAGAGCCCGGGCCACCAAGGCTCCATGCCACTTCACAGTTCTTTCAGGGGCTTTCAGTGCAGTTGTCACAGCATGCCCGTCGCTATCAAGTTCTTGAATACGAGTGCGGTTCAGATCCGATGCTATAGCCCAATTAGCAAGAGCCCAGGTAGCAAAGGGTACAGCTACATGCTCCCTCTGTAAATCATCCCAAAGGCCTGGAGTAGCATGGGAACTTAGTCTCTCAATGTCTACATAATCAACAGTAGACTCTTGGTTTACCAGTCCACTACTATTCTGGGCAACTTCCATTCTACTATTTTGTGCAACTTCCAAAACATCATCACCTGAGTTGCCAATCTTTAGTGAGTTATTTTCTCTGGAGAATCCCAATATAGTAGTCCCCCCAAGTACCTTAATCCCTATCCCTTTTAATCCCCTGTCACCATCATCACTGCTATCATCCTCATGGTCATCAAAGTGCATCCCCCCTTCCTCAATGACTTCGATAGCTGCTGCAATATCTCTTATATCAGCATCTGCAGGCAACAAAGGCCGAAACGACGAATAATCTGCATTATCACAGTTGGATGTGATTATATCCATGAGTGCAGCGACAAGCATGCTCCTTCCTTTAGAGTGATCTGATACATCGAACGAAGAGTGTCTGGAGTTCTGTCTCGACAAGAGAACGATAGATTAGGAAAAGAACAACTTAATAAAAAACTATAGACTGCTTCATTCCATACATAAAAATATTTGTCAAGACATGATAAGCTATTGGAAAAGAAGATGAAATAAGCTGAACAAAAATCAAACAAAAAAAATTCCATAGAGAGTGGAGAAAGGATAAGAGGATCACAATGGCATGAAGAAAAATATAAATATGGTCCATGAAAATGGCAAGGTCGTACAACTAATTTGCAGTTTCAGAACTCATACCAAATGTAGATTTATTACCCTAACACTGCAGTAACATATATTACAATGATCACGCAACCAGAGATTCACATGGAATCAACATCCTAAACTTACAACATCTGAATCCTGCAATGTAGCACATGATGACCCGATTCCTAGCTATATAGACCATGCTACATTGAGTCAAAACAACTTTTAACAGAAAATGACTGCTGCAATATCAATTGATGGTCAAGATGTACAGTGGGAAGTTTTTGTATATCCAAAAATTGTACTCCCTCCGTCCCAAAATAAGTGTCTCAACTTTGTACTAGCTTTAGTACAAAATTGTACTAACCTTGAGACAGTTATTTTGGGACGGAGGGAGTATAAGTTTTGTACCCTAATCTTCCACAATATGATCAACCAAGCTACACTGAATTAAGAACTCTCTAAAAAAAACTATGGCTTCTACTATATCAATTTATGGTCAAGGTCTATGAGAGAAATTGCATAAGTTTTGTATGCTATACTTGCACAGTGCGATTGATACAAATAGGAGAACCACAAGTACACCGAATGCAAGCTTCTATCAAACTACATTTGAGCAATTCAGGCAAAGGAAACAATCCAACACTAACACCTGTTATCGCCTTTTTGCCACGCTTGGACTGGTAGGAGAAGATAAACTTATGGTCCATGAACAGAGGGAGTATATACTAAACATGATGGTGCTTGGTCCATGAAAATGACAAGGTCGTTCAGCTAATTTGCAGTTTCAGAACTCATACCAAATGTAGATTTATTACCCTAACACTGCGGTAACATATATTACAAAGATCAGGCAAGCAGAGACTCATATGGAATCAACATCCTAAACTTTAACATCTGAATCCTGCAATGTTGCACATGATCACCTGATTCCTAGCTATATAGACCATGCTACATTGAGTCAAAAATCTTCAAACAGAAAATAACTGCTGCAATATCAATTGATGGTCAAGATGTACAATGGGAAGTTTTTATATCCAAAAATTGTATAAGTTTTGTATCCTACCCTTCCCCAATATGGTCAACCAAGCTAGACTAAATTAAGAATTCTCTAACAAAAACTATGACTTCTGCAATATCAATTGATGGTCAGGGTCTGTAAGAGAAACTGCATAAATTTTGTATCCTACCCTTGCACAATGTGATGTGATTAACAACGAACAAGAGAACGCTACATCGCACAATTACACTGAATGCATGCTTCTATCAAACCACATTTGAGCAATCAGGCAAAGCAAACAATCGAAAACTAACACCTGTTATCACCTTTTTGCCGCGCTTGGGCTGGTAGGAGAAGATAAACTGAAGGAGGGAGGGCACCGCTCGTGGCCGGCCGAGCACAGCAGGCGCGACCCACGGGTCGGCCAGCAGGTTCGCGAGCGCCCGCGCCGCCTCCGCCTGCGTGGCGCCCCGCACGATGCTGTCGAGCAGCCAGTCGACCACGGCGCCGCCGCCCGCGGACACGATGGCCGCACGCCGAGCGGCACTGGCGGCCGTGATATCGGCGAGCAGCGCGGCGACCCGCATCTCGAACCCCGACCGCACCTCGTGGTTGGCGGACGACAGGACGGACATGAGCGACTTGCAGAGCACCCCGCCCGCCGTCCACGTGTGCCGCATCTGCTCCGCCACGCGCGCGGCGGACGCCCTGGTCCTCGCTAGGGTCTCCTCGATGTTGTCGGTGGTGGCGTAGAGCGTCCCGGCGGCGGTGGCGACGGAGAGCGCGGAGATGGCGAGCAGCGGGGAGATGCGGCGGGGGCCGCGGAGGGGCGCGAGATGGTGCCGCGGCGGGGGAGGCGCCGCGACGGGGAGGGTCGACGAGGTGGAAGGCGGAGAAGGGGAGGCGGGCGGGGCGGGGCCGGACGAGAGGAGGCGGCGGGGCCGGAGGCGGGAGTGGCGGCGAGCATGGCGGAGGGAAGCGGCGAGGAGGCGCCGCAGCGGCAGCATCGCCGGGCCGGAGAAGCTACGCGGGCGGCGTCTCCTCGAGAGGGGCCAGATTTGGGGGCGGCTCGCTCGGTTTGCTTGGGGAAGACGGCGAGGGAGATTGGGGGAAGCACGCGGGAATATCCGCCGGAGTGGAGAGCGGACGAGTCGGTGGCGCCGGGATGAGATCGACGGGCGTCGCCGCGTCACGGGAGGAAAGCGAGTTGTGGTGGGCTACCGGTTCCGTGATGGGCTGGCTATGTTTGGCTCGGTTCCGTAGAGCCACGACCCGTCTCCTATGGTCGCACGTTTTTCTTTCTCCCCGTCCGTGCACGATGAGCACATGTCATAACGTAACTTCTCATAGCAATTTTTTTTCTACGAGAAAAACTTCAATCTCCTGTACATTCATCAAACATGTACTTCCTTCGTCCCATAATATAAGAACATTTTTGTCACTAGTGTAGTGTTAAAAACATTCTTATATTTTGGGACAGAGGGAGTACTGTTTTTTTATGAAATATCAAACATGTGCCGTTGAAGTAGCATGAACTTATATCCAGATGATGGAAGAACATTGCATAAAACAAGTTTTTTTCCCTCTCGCTAGGGTTACACCTCTCGCTTGCGGCAACGCGACGTTGAGACTCCTATCCTCCGGCGCCGTTCTCTCACAAGGCTCACGCTCGGGCTGACTCAGGGGCACCCTCACGGTGTCGCCCGGCCTTGGCTGCTCCCCCGGGATCGGTGTCTTGGAGCTCCCCTCAGACCCTCGTGTAAACTAGGGTTAGGTTCTATTTTCACCATGGCATCTGTGGAGGCTGAATCGGTGGTTGGAGATGATGATCTCCAGGAACTGATGAAACAATTGGGCATTGAGGACAATGATCTGGTTGATGTGGTCTACGAGGAGGTATGCCCGAAGCCGGTGACTGAAGCTGTCCATTGGCTTGCGATTGGGCAAGTGCATACGACGAAAGAATTTGGCGACTTTTGGTTCTATAAGAACATGCGCAGCGCCTGGGATCTTGCACAAGATGTTAGGTTCAGATCGCTTGGGGATGGCATGCATACGATGCAATTCTCTTGTATTGGAGATTGGGACAAGGTAATGGAAGGGGGGCCCTGGACCTTCCGTGGTAACCCAGTCCTAATGGCTGCTTATGATGGATTTACAAAACCTTCCTCCATTGATCTCTATAGCTTTAGAATTTGGATGCAAATTTTGGATTTGCCTGATGGCTTTGAGCCCCTGGTTGAAGCTCTTGCAGCAACGGCGGGCGAGTTCTACTCCCTAGATAACAGCGGGAGAGATGTGGTTGGAAACTTGAGTTAGAATTACTCTTGATGCCAGAAACAAACTGAAGAACCATGTCTCTGTTGTGAGAAAGAGGAAAAGGCAGATTTTTAGAGTTAAGTACGAGTGCCTCCCGGACTGGTGTGCTTTGTGTGGTATGACCGGACATCTTCACACCAAACATGGTGACGGCGTGCACCGGTGTCGGCTCTGATCTTCAAAGATTTACGAGCCACATAGGGAACAGTTGCACGAGCAAATCGTAATATAGATGATGACTCACGTAATGGCAAGGCAATGTATGTTGATGCAATGCAAGCAAGAAAGATGAGAAAGATGATGATCCGGATGCTAGTAGGAAGAGGGGTTCAGCAAGCAGCGAGCAGATTTCTTCTTCGGTCGTTGCCAAGGGCCAGCTCCTCCTGACTGCTCCTGTACAAAGTGTTCCTCCCAACCCTTCTTCAAAGCAAGAACAGAAGAGATTGAGAGCAGATCAAAACGTAACAAAAACAAAACCTTTGTCCACAATGGCGGGTTCCCAAGGGGAACGCCGCCAAGACAAATGAATCTTCTAAGTTGGAATTGTTGGGGTGGGGGGAACTCTCGGACAGTTCGTGACTTGGCGACTTTGGTTCAGTCGCATTCCCCCAAAGTGGTGTTTTTGTGTGAAACTCGGCAGTCTAAAACTCGCATGAAAAGGTACCAAGTTCGGCTGGGACTACAAGGTTTTGATGCAGTTGATAGTATTGGTAATAGTGGTGGCCTTGTGTTATTTTGGCATGAATCCCTATCTGTTGAGGTGGTTTCCTCAAGTCAACGTTGCATGGATGCGCTTGTGAGGGAAGGACCAGATGACCCACCTTGGCGTCTAACATGTGTCTACGGAGAGCCAAGGGTAGAAGATCGTCATAATACGTGGTCCCTTTTGCAGAGCATGAGCATGCAATATGATCTTCCTTGGCTTGTAGTTGGTGATTTCAACGAATGTGTGTGGGATTTCAAGCACTTTTCAGCCACGCCAAGGGCAGCTAGTCAGATGCAAGCTTCTAGAGATGTCCTTGAGCTTTGCGTGCTAACATACTTAAGCTTTGTTGGAGTCCCTTATACGTATGATAATAAGAGAGCTGGCAGTACAAATGTAAAAGTTTGTCTGGATAGAGTTGTGGCTAACCCAGCATGGAGAAATCGTTTCGATCAGGCGCTGGTCACGCACCTCACTTCTCCATGTTCAGACCATGCGCCACTTCATGTTGCTAGCGAGCAGTTCGAGGACCGGCCTTGCAAACAAAGAATTAGAAGGTATGAAGTGATGTGGGAGCGTGAACCGGCATTACAGGAGGTTACTGCAAAAGCTTGGTCGGCTGCTGGAACAAAAAGTTTGTTAGGCGATATGCATGGAGCTTTACGGGATACAATGCATAAATTATGCCAGTGGAGCAAAACAAAATTTGGCAGCGTTTGAAATAGAAAAAACACGCACCCAACTTGAAGAACTTATGCTGATGAATGCGGATAGAATGGAGATACGAAGTGTGACTGATAAAATGAATGAATTATTGTACAGAGAGGAGCTCATGTGGATGCAATGGTCACGTGTCACTTGGCTCAAGGACGGCGACCGCAACACGAGATTTTTCCATGCTAAGTCTGTTTGGCGAGATAAGAAAAACCGAGTGAAAAACTAGAAGATGCCAATGGTGTGATGCACACAGATATGAAAGCGATGGGAGTAGCTGCAACTCGGTACTTTGAGGATATCTTCACCGTGGATAGTAATCTGGATGCATCGCCTATTATTGATCTTATTGCACCGTTGGTAGGAAAGGAAACAAATAAAAGGTTATGTGAAGAATTCACCGAAAAAGAAATCTCCGATGCACTTTTCCAGATCGGTCCCTTGAAGGCTCCTGGGTCAGACGGGTTCCCGGCACACTTTTTTCAGCAGAACTGGTCTACGCTCAAGGACAGTGTTCTTGCCATTGTTAAGGATTTTTTTTCACACAGGAGTTATGCCCCCAGAGCTAAATGATACAGTAATTGTGTTGATTCCCAAAATTCATAACCCAGTCAAGGTTTCAGATTTTCGTCCTATTAGCTTATGTAATGTTTTTTACAAAGTTGTGTCTAAATGTCTGGTCAATAAGCTTAGACCTGTCCTGGATGATATAATTTCCCCTTCTCAGAGTGCTTTTATACCAGGACGTATGATTACTGATAATGCACAGATTGCTTTCGAGTGCGTACATCATATCAAACAGGAAAAAGACCCGACTAGGAGTTTCTGTGCTTACAAGCTTGATCTCTCAAAAGCTTATGATCGGGTTGATTGGACATACCTTAGGCAAATGATGCAAAAGCTTGGCTTCGCTCGCAAATGGGTCGACTGGATAATGACTTGTTGACCTCTATGATATACTCCACGAAATTCAATGGAGCTATCTTGGATTCTTTTGCACCGACGTGTGGTCTTCGGCAAGGTGATCCATTATCCCCATATTTGTTTCTGTTTGTTGCTGATGGTTTGTCTGCTCTAATAAGTAAAGGAATTGAAGTGGGCGACATCTCTCCTTTGAAAATCACAAGAAGGGCCCAGGCATCTCTCACTTGTTATTTGCAGACGATACTTTGCTCTTTTTCAAAGCTTGTGACCAACAAGCCAACCGGGTTAAAAATATTTTAGAAGTTTATGGACATGCCACAGGTCAACTTATTAACCTGCAAAGTGCTCTGTTTTATTTGGTAACTCCTGCCCTGAGACCATCGTGGACTCGGTTAAGCTTGCTCTTGATGTCCAAATTGTTGATTTTGAGGAGAAGTACCTTGGACTGCCGACCCCGGATGGGAGAATGTCTAAGGGTAAATTCCAGAACCTCCAAGTTAAACTTACAAAGGGTCTGTTTTCTTTTGATGGCCACCCAACTCAGGTTGGCAAGGAGGTGCTAATCAAAGCCGTTGCACAGTCAATCCCCAATTATTTAATGAGTGTCTTCAAGCTACCTTTCGAGGTTTGTGATGATCTTAACCGCATGGTCAGGAACTATTTTTGGGGTGCAGAGAAAGGAAAGAGTAAGACACATTAGTATGCATGGGATAAAATGACTAGGGCAAAGTGCCAAGGTGGTTTGGGCTTCAAAGATTTCAGATTGTTTAATCAAGCTTTGTTAGCATGCCAAGCATGGCGTCTCCTAACTTGCCCCGACAGTCTCTGTGCCAGGCTACTGAAAGCAAAATATTATCCCAATGGGAGGTTGGAAGATTCCGTTTTTATGGGTAACTCGTCCCCTACTTGGCAGGCAATATGTCATGGCCTTGAATTTCTAAAGAAAGGGACGGTGTGGAGGATCGCAAATGGCCAAAATGTTAGAATTTGGCGTGATAGATAGATTGTAAGGGATCCTACTAGTGGACTCATATCGCCCAAAGGACGTTGTAGATTTAAATGGGTTTCTGAGCTTATGGACCACAATGGAAATTGGGATAACTCTAAACTGCAGCAATTCTTTCTTCCAATCGACATTTGTGAGATCCAGAAAATTCGCCCCTATCATCGTCTTGGCGAGGACTTCATAGCATGGGCCCAAGAAAACTCTGGTGTATTCAGTGTGAGAAGTGTGTACCGTTTGGCTTCAGATGATCTTCATAATGGGCCCGTGACCTCCTCAAGCCACCACCCGGACAGCCGACGTGATGGTTGGAAGGCCCTATGGTCATGCAGTGCACCGCCAAA